TGAGGGGAAGGACAGATGCTATGCCCTCTATAAAGCAGTCACTTCTGCTTAATACCAACCCCCTCCCCACGACACTCCTCTGGAATCTCCCGCACGTCAGCACCTCACAGGGTCTGACTAGAGGCAAAGGACCAGCGGCTGATGAATTTTAGGAATTGTGGCCACCCCCAGCCCACACACTTTCTAAGAAGCTGAAACACCTGCAGAACCTTGGGGCCCTCTTGTGGTTTTGGGCAGTACAGCATGGAAGAAATAACCAGGAAGCACGGAGTTGAACAATGAACCCTGGCTTGAGAGGGGCCAGTGTGAAAAATAGCAACACTTTTTCCGGGGGAGGGATGGCATGGTTGTGCATAGAAGACAGCGCCCCTAATCAGGAAACAGGCTTGATAAAAATTGAAACGTCTGGTCCCCCTACCTGGCTCTGGTTAGCAGGTGAGAACTCCACAGGGCCTCAAGAGCCAGGCTAGAATGTGAAGACCAGGTATCTGCATGTCTCATACCTCCACACCCCCACACAGTTCATGGGCCCCATTCTGCGTCTCTGACCCAGAGTAGAGCGACAACATCCCCCTGCCAACCATGCGCTAATGCATGTGTTCTAGTGAAGGGATCCTAAGAAATAAGCATGGGGTAGAGGGTGGGTATGACCCTGTTCAAATATAGAAGGATTTAACCAGGGTGTCTTAGATCCAAAGTCCCTGTACATGCTGTTGCCCCAGTTGAGTGCAGATGCTGGGAAATGTAATGCAGATGCCAAAGAGAAAGGAGTTCAGGCAACAGCTACCAAATAGGGAAGCACCAAGGGTGCTCAGAGATAGATGAGGCTGGACAACAGGCTTGGGAAGCTCCTCTAGATGGTGCCTCCCATGCTCCCTGCCCCATTCACAAGGTTATGACCCCCTAAGAAATGTCACAACAATCCAGGGCCCAGAGGTTGGAGAGGTAAGGGACAGGGGCGAGACATCAGGAGCAGTTTAAGGCCCAGAGCCCTGCTGGGACTCATTTAAACCAGGCTGCTCCTAAGCAGCAGGAGGGTCAAGTTCAGTCTCATGCTCTTTTGCCTTGGCCCGCAAGCTGGTGGTGCTGCAGGAGCAAATTTCTTCTGTCTTTGCCCCAAATTCCTTGTACAGGGGAGGCCGAGGAGGAGGCTGTCCTTTGGGACCAGCACTTGGCCAGTGACCTGGGTCTTTTTCCAGTATCCCAACTCCAGAGCTCTTCCTTGAACCTTCCGTTGCCTGGGGGGCCTGGGGCTTCTTGTGTCCCAAGGCCAACGAGCCCCTAACGAGGCCTTGGTCCTGCAGTTTCAGTTGTCTCCTCAGCTTTGCCCTGCGGTTCTGGAACCACACCTAGGGAAACCCAATGGAAAAGAGGCATTAGCAAACCAGCTTGTTGCCTGCCTTCACTCTTGGAGACGGTTACCCAAGGAAAGGTTTTAAACCAAAAGCAGAAAGTTCAGATCATGTCACCTAATTAGGGGAAATTTCATTGCAGAAGTGTCTCTCTGTCTCCGTAATGCCCCCAGCAGATTCCTGAGCCCGCAGTCAGTCCCAGAGGGAGAATCCCTGACCCGCTTTATACCCTCCGCGAGGGAACCGGACACTTTCGTATGGGCTCCCAGCACACCTCTCCCTCCCCTCATGAGCTGGGGCTGCAGAGAAACCAGGGGACATGAGCAGCTCTCTTATTCTGATCCAGTCAATGAGTCTCAAGCCTCATTGCCCCACCCCAAATCCAGGAGGGATCCATCACCCTTGCTTTCCAGCTGCTCAGGGCAGCTGTCGAAGTGACGAGAGGGGAAACTCAGGCCAGAGAGCAGGAGCCGGGCGGGGTGGATCCCACACACTCAACTGCCCCACCATGCTGCTGGGTGCCCTCCCCCTCTCCCGCCTTACCCATTTCCCAACCCTGAGAGGAGATGAGCCTCACTCCAGCTCTCCCACATTGCCTGTCCGGACCTGTGGCTGCTGAGTTACCGCCACCGGAGCCAACAGGCAGACAGAACTGATCCCGCCATCTAAGGGCTCCCACCTCTGACCTTCCCCCGCCCAAGGCAGACTCCTCGGTCACCAATGGCAATGGGGCTGGAACATCGACAGGACTGGGAATAAGCACAGAGAAGAGCAGAGCAAACAGGAGGTGACAGGGCCTCCTGCAGCAGAATCCAAGCCCCCGGCCTGGCAGCCTCAGAGGCTGGGGACAGTTTGTTTGTTTGTAAACTCTGAGGACAAGGGCAAGGTGCTATTGCCAAGGGTTAGCCTGGAGCACGGTACCCCATGGGTGTCCGGTACCTGAACCCTGGCCTCTATCAGGTCTAGCCGGAGAGCTAGGGCCTCCCTCATGAAGACGTCAGGGTAGTGTGTGGTCTCAAAGGCGGATTCCAGCTCCTCCAGCTGCCAGCTGCTGTAATTGGCTCGGGCTCGTCTCTGCCTCTGCGGACGAGCTTCCTCTGGAGGAAAACAAGGCCAGTCACGGTGACCCCCAACAAGCCGGTCTGATGATCCGTACTAGCTCAGAGGCCCAAAGAGCGGACAGTACCCTCCACTGGGCACCGCACTAGCCCTGCCCCCACTGTGCAGCCCTCCATTCACTGCCCGCTCACAGAGACAGAACTAGCCCTGGACCCTCCCATGCACAGCAGGGCAGCTACCTCTCATCACCGACTGGAAGACCTCGGTCTCAAACACATGAGGTGACCCCTCGTTCTCCTTTTAAATGAAGAAAGCCCCCACTCCTGAGCAGCTCTATTTCAGTCAGCTGATTTCATCTGGACCATTTGCTGTAGGGTCCGAGTGCATCACAATCTCGAATGTTTTTCGGATGGGATGGGTGACATTAAGGTCCTGGTCGGCATAGGGGTAGGGCCCTGGAACCCCCGCCAATGGACTGAGACCCCATTGCACTAGGTGCTGTACAAAAAGACGGCCTGCTTGTGCTCGGACGGTGTCATAGGGCAGCTGGTGCCTGGGCATACATTAGCCCAGCAGCTTCCCTGGACCAAAGGCACCCATCCAGCCAAGTGAAGAGCGCAAGGCTACACCTGGGACTATCATGGGCTGCTAGTGGCAGCTGGACTGAGACAGTCTGCCCCCAGGAGAGAAAGCCACATCGGAGTGGAGCTAAGGCTGGTGGCAGGTCCCCAGACAAGAAGCCAGGGGTACGTGGAAAAGCTGACAGACTGGGAAAATGTCCAGGGAAAGCAGCCAGAGGCCCCAGAGAGGAGTGTCCCTGAAGCTTGAGCCTAAGGAATGAGTTCACAGGCTGTTTTCTGGCTGTTCGCTACTCACTAAGAAAATACCCCCCCCCCCCTTGAAAAGCCTGGGCATGGCAGCTCTGGGGCTGGCCAAGGGACAGATGGGCACCTAACCCAGAATTGGCAAAGCCACCAGTGAGCACAGTGTGTTCCTGGGGTCAGTCACATCTTTATTCTTCCCACTATCCCATTCCAGCCTGCTTTGTACAATACATAGTGTAGAAATGTACACTGGGGCCTATGGGGGGGGGGGCATTAGCACTATTTTTTCTATCCTTTCACTTGCCATGGTCCCTGGGTTCCAGCTGGGTAAGGTCTAAAGAGTGGGGATAACAACAAACCAATACATTTTAAAATCTAACTGACTCCCCCTCTGACACAATTGTGTCATTTTAAATTCCAGTATCTGGGAACCTTCCCGTGGCTCAAAGCAAAGACTGTGCGTCCTGCTGGAAATGGGGGAATTTATCCCTGTCCCTTGGAGTCCTTCTGTCTTGTGTACCTGAGAGGTCCCCCAGCTCCTCCAAACCTGCGCCTTGGCTTGCCAGCAGCAGTGCTTGTTTGCAGGGCTCTGGAGGGCTGTAGTGCTGGAAGAGCTGGTAGCTGAAAAGGGGAGCTGGGAGGAAGAGGCTGCAAACAGGAGTGGATCTGAGGTGGGCTGAGAGAGCAGGGCTGTAGAAGTGAGAGGCAGCTGGGAGTGAAGATGCCGTGTATTCTGAGCTGAACATCCTCCTCTAGGGTCACACAAGCAGAGTTGCTGCACCTGGGTGGAAAGGAGACAGCTGGAAGATTCCTGCCCTTCTGGTCCATGAGGATCCCACCACATCCACCAGAGGAGAAGGAAAATGAGAAAGAGCCTTGACCATTGGGGAGACTTAACTCCAGTTATGCTGCAGTTCAGATTAACCAGGGATACTGCTTCTGCAAGAAACCCCATGGTAGACCCTAGAGACCCTCCTGGGCTATATCCTGCCGGTTTCTTGGCTCAGATGTAACAGCAGAACAGATCTGTGATACTACAGCATTTCAGGGCCCAGCCCAAAGTCAGCACATATGGACTACTGAAGCTGAACAGAGATCTTTTCAGCCTCAGAGCACCTCTGGGGTCAGTTTTAGGTTTCTAGCAGGGAGGTTCTCTCTCCAAACCGCCTAGCCCATCCCTAAAGAAAACAATGCCAGTTTTTGTTGGTTACTTATATAGCACCTCCAGCGTGCTAGGCAATCTACAGTATTCGCGCAGTAGTAACAATGACCTTGAAGGAGCCCACATTCCACTTGCCAACAAACCCCAAAGACATGAAATTCAGGGAGGATAAGTTACCAGCTGAGAAGATGGAAGGGGGAAAGAGAAAGAGACAAGTGAGTCCATCTGCACAGGAAGAGGAAAGAAAATGTCCCTCCCCAAGCTAATGTCACCCCTTCACTCCTCAGCATTATGGATACTCTCCATGCTGAGGAGAATCAAGTTCCAGTCCAGAACTAACCAGGATTCCTTCTCCCATTAGGACTGCACAGAACACCCCCGTTCTGAGCGGCTGTGAACCCCAAAGCAAACACAGCCCCTAGGAACATGGCAATCTTGACACAGTTTGAGCCAGACAATGTTCCAGGCGGGTCTTAGGTCATGGTGGAATGCAAAGAGGAAGATGCATTTCAACAGGCAGGAGGACAGTGGGGTCTGGGAACCCACTCTCAGAGCATTCCTTCCCCAAATGTTCTCCCCATCTTACCTGCACGGAGTAATTCGGAGATCTGCAGAGCAGACTGAATCTTGAACAGGTGAGCTCAGGTGGACTGGAGGATTAGAGGCACTGTTTATATTCATCCAGGTATGGCCGGAAACAAAGTGGAGACGGGTCCTCACCCAGCCCCTTTTTCTTCACCAAAAATTAATGTGAGGTTCTGATTAAATTACTGTGGTGGTCAGGAGAGTCTCTGCTGACCAAGATGTGTCCAGTGAAACCTAGCGCTGGTCTGGACTTACCTAGGTGTGTGTATGTAGAAGGCAAACTGCAGGAGAATCTCTGATCACCCACTTGACTCCAGCAGGTGTGAAATAAACTTTTTTTACCTGAAGCCTCTTCTCCAAGGCCCGCCCCCCTTCAGACACTAAGTTGACTTCTTCACTTCAAAGAAACTCCTCAATCAATTAGTGGGAAGCTTGAGCCGGGATTGAATTACCAAGCAAATATTCCTACTAATGGCTCCCTTGCAGTGACCCGGAAAAGCTGTCTCACCTGCAGGAGCAGTTCACACAGCTCTCTCTAAACAAGAGATTCCAGTTGAGCCAAATGAGACATCTGAAGCTACCTCCACTTTACATGGCATCATATTCAGTATTGAGAGAGCCCCAGGCTTTCCAGTCAAGAATAGATTGTCCTGCACCTCTCCTGTCTCCACTGCTCCATTTGCACAGGTTATTATAAGTTTCTCTGATGGGAACATGGAGCAAGGGAATGAAATCCCACAACGCCAAGATCTTCTTTTTGCCTTCCAGGATTACTCCACACCTACAATTTCTGGGCATTTCTCCTACTGTTTATTTCCAGTTGGATTTTGCTCAGTTTCTCCAACGGCATGATATTAATTTTGCTCTTGTGACTTTGCAGGAGGAATAACGAGCAGTTAATGACTGTGTCCAACAAGAAGGAACTGAGAGCGACTAGATAAGCGTAGAAGCCTTTGGAACTTGTTGGAGCAGGGCTAGAAGAAACTCAGGAATATGAACAGAGGACAGAGCATGGTTGGCTAGAAGAACCAGAAGTTAAGTCCAGACGTCACTGAGAGGGCAGTGAGTTCCTATTGACAGGGGTGAGTGAGTCCCTGTGAGGCAGGGAGTGTCTCAAACCAAGGAGGAAGCAGTCTTCCAGCCTGCTCCCTCTGCAGGAGGCGATCGAGTCCCCACCAGCCTCCCCCTGAAATCTCTGCCACTCACCCCGTGCCACGGCATGGAGCTGGTTCGTTATTCATGTGGCTACTGCAGAAAGTACAGTGCAAAGCCTGCCACCACCAGGAGCAAGGGCTCTGGACTCTCCCAGTTCCTCAGGATCAAGCACCAGGCTTCAATGGCCCTGCAAGATGTGTGAGGAGATGCAGCTCAAACTGCTGCTCAGTCACCCCCTTTGCCCTCCACATGCCACAGACCAGGGAGGGAAGGCAGGCTTTCTCCATGAGCTTTTCCACTCTGGGGCTTCACCGCACCACAAGGGGCAGACCTCCCACCTCGGCCCCCAGCCTGCATCTGCAACCTACCCACTACACACATGAAAGAGGTAGCGATGAAGTGACTGGGGCGTGCAGGCTGCCGCGGGGCTGGACTGAGGGCAATGAGCAGAGCTAGTGCAGAACCTGATGTGCTAGGCATGGAACAGGGCCAGAGGAAAGGGGCTTGGCAGAGTTGAGGGGCAGATAATTGCGGAAAATTTGCACCGGGCTTTCCGTACTGCCCTGCCTGCAGCCCTTTGTACCACAGCTGACACACATTAAGAGAGAGAGAGGAGACGGACAGACCCAACCTGGCCAGGCCTGCCTCAGACTATCAGCAAACCTGCTGCTGTTCCCATCTGTTTCTCTCTCAGCCTCCTCCCTAAGGCTATGTCTGCACTACAGCGGCATGTCAGCCCTTCAGCGCAGACTCTACAGCAGGGGTGGGCAATCATTTTTGAGAGGGGGGGGCCACTTTGTGAATTTCTGAAGTGGGCACAGGCCACCCCGGAAAGGGCGGGGCCTTGGTTGGAAGGGGTGGGGCCAGGAGAGTTCGAGTGCTTCCCCACCCATAGACCCTGATTGGCCTGGGAGTGGGAGAGCACGTGAAGTCTTTGTCCCCCGCCCTGCCCGGGGTGCCCGGTGCCTACGGAGAACCACCAGCTGTTATGAACAGGAAAGAAGGAAAAAAGGAAGAAAAAACGCAGCAGCATCAGGAGGGGGCTGAAGGGAGACTTTCCCCTTAGTTTGGGAGGCACCTTGCCTCCCCTCACCTCCCAGCCACTGGGAAGGACCGGGGAAAGGGAGCAGACAGTCTCTGGCCCCCCTGCCTGACCCCACCAGGGGCGCCCAGTTCCATCTGGTGCAGCGCACCCTGGCTGGAGGAGGAGACTTTGCGTGCTCCCCCATCCACAGGTCTAGATTAGCCTGGGAGCAGCAGGGTGGCTGCGGGCCAGACCAACCCGCCAAGCAGGTTGATTCAGCCCATGCAGGCTCCTTTGCACACTCCTGCTACAGCCACAAGAGGGGTTCTCCCATCACTGTAGCTAGATCAGGGGAAGAATTCGTTGGTCAACCTGGCACTGCCTACACCGGGGGTAAGGTCAGTATAGCTGCAGCTTTCAGGAGGGTGGATTTTTTACATCATAGCTTTGCCAATGTCAGTTTTCCATGTAGCTCAACTTGATCCACCTGATCTAGGTAAGTGGCCAAGAGCATCCGGGTCTGCCCAGGTACAGCTGCAGAGTGTCCCTGCCCCTAACAAAGGTGCAGGGGCGGAACAATGGTTCAGATTTCTATAACAATCTGTCCCAAGAGGGAAAGCAGCTTGCACAGAGGCCAGACTAGCGTGTGTCTTAGAGGACAATGGGAAGGTGCTCACTAGCTTTCCCACGTTGGCCTCTTCCCACTAACCTGTGCCAGTTAAAGGCCTGCAGGCTTTTATGGGGTTTCTGCTGACTGCAAACAAGGTGACGGGCCTGCACACCAAGGCCATCAAGACAAGTTCATCCATCTTACAGGGCGTGGGGAAGCACTGTATGTATGCCTGGTGTGTGTATCTGGTTTTGAGGACTGTTAATAAAAAGGAGATGAAGTAGGATATTACTGCGTAAAAGACCCCGCAAACCTGCCAAGGATAAGGTTATTCCTGAGCCTTAGAATCATAGAATCATAGAATAATAGGACTGGAAGGGACCTCGAGAGGGCATCGAGTCCAGCCCCCCGCCCTCAAGGCAGGATCAAGCTCCGTCTACACCATCCCTGACAGATGTCTATCTAACCTGTTCTTAAATATCTCCAGAGAGGGAGATTCCACCACCTCCCTTGGCAATTTATTCCAATATTTGACCACCCTGACAGTTAGGAATTTTTTCCTAATGTCCAATCTAAACCTCCCCTGCTGCACTTTAAGCCCATTACTCCTTGTCCTGTCCTCAGAAACCAAGAGGAACAAATTTTCTCCTTCCTCTTTGTGACACCCTTTTAGATATTTGAAAACCGCTATCATGTCCCCCCTTAATCTTCTTTTTTCCAAACTAAACAAGCCCAGTTCATGAAGCCTGGCTTCATAGGTCATGTAGGAACAGGGGAGGGTGGATGTCCCTAGAGAGTGCAAGTATTTTGTGTGGGTAAGAGAGAGGGAAGTGTTCTCCGACTGTAACTGGATCCCCCTCCACCAAGCTGGCCGCATTCAGTCCTGGATCATTTGCAGAGTAAAGCTGAGACATCCCTTGCGGGGGAGGAGGAAGCCCCAATCGCTCACACCTCAGACATCAAAGCAGGAAACACAGCCAGCAAGAGGAGCTCACCTCCAGCAGCGCTTGCCCAGAGCAGCTGATGGAGAAGAGCCAAGGCAGCATGAGGCGAAGCTGGGAGGTGAGTGGGGTACACACTCCGCCCCACCAGCAACCTTTCCCCTGTGAGGAGGCAACTGGTTTGCTCAGAATCACCCATTAAGCATCTGGGCCAGTAAAAAGCTTCCTAGTCACCTGCTCACCAGCAGTTTACACGTCACTGACACTATCGCATGCAGCCACAAGCGGGACACAACAGACATGGCCATATAGCAAGCACCCCTGCTTTCCCAGGGCGAGCAATCCAAGGTTGATTGCCTCCCATGGAACGGGCTCAGAAAAGGATCTACCTACTGAGTGTCTAGAGAAGTGTCAGTGTGTGCAGAGCTGGGATATACCAGGAAAAATGCTAATGGTCTGTAAGTCACAGAGCGTCTCTCCCTAGCCGTGTGTGGCCAGTGGCTGCCTCATGTGGGAGAGGAGTTCCCTTCTGGAGCTCAGACACAGCTCTCCTACCTGGCCGTGCTCAGGAGACAGGAACTCAGCCCTAGGGGCAAACGTCTGCACCACAAAGCACCAATGGGCTCAAAAGGGAACCCCAATCCTCCATGGCAGTGTCTCAGCACAAAGGCTCAAGGATGCTGGGTTGCCACCTGTGCCTCTCTAGCATTGCTGCTCGAAAGAGACCAGCCGTCCAAGGCAGATGAACAATGATGGTGACTCCACTGGGCTCCTCTTCCCCATTCCCAACAAGTTGAGCCATTTATAACCCTCTCCCCTCACTTCTCTACCAAGGGAGTTTTAGATCACGCTCCTCCAAAGCAGGGGAGGGGTTTACAAGGCCTGCAGTGGATAGTGCTGTCAGTTTAGCTCAGCTGGGCTGCTTCCTCTTGGAGGAGGGGAGGAGCGAACCAGCTCAGCCCAACGGAGATGAAACCCAGTTATAAACAAGCACTGATTAAAAGGCGGGCCAGTGTCAATGCATCCGTAACGCCGCCGCTAACCGTTTTAGAACTGTCACTTCTCCCGTCCCCGATAAGAGGGGCTGGGCTCCAGGCCCATCATCCTGGCATTCCACTCCAGCGGCAACATGCTCTCCGCCTCGAGCTGTCTCGGCACTTCAAGGTGCCTCGCCTTCAAACCGCTCGCACAAAAGCCCCCAAATTAAAAGCACCGGGAACTCAACCTGAAAATTAATACTGGCATGCATTAGTGATCCTATTAGTCTCCTGCCGCAGCCGCCGCGCTGCATTCCCAGCCGCGACGATGGATCGCAGCTGGAACATCTAACTCTGTAATTCTAGCAGGCTCCAGTATTTGTGTCTCCATCCCCATAGGATCCAGCATGGGAGGATTGATTCAATGGAATGCACAGAAGGCAGCAAGTCATAAGCAGTGCCTCTTATTCAGTGAGATAAACGCAAACTCCAACTAGGCGAGGGGGCTGCAGCCGTCCTGCCAAATCAAATGACTGCACCAGTCACATCTTTGCCACCCACGTTTTCTCTCACATTCCCTCCTCCTGTGAACTAACTTGCTGGTATCAAAAGGGAGCGTTTCAAAGCCAGCGACATGCGGTGCAGTTGCTCCTCACTGTGCACTATCAGCAGTCTTGCTTGTCTATGGCACCAAGTCCCCACAAACACCCTCTGCTATTCCAGACTGGGATGCCGGCAACAGGGCTGTTTGCCAAACACACCTGGGAGACCCCGTGTTTCTTGAACAGAGGCAAACTAGCAACCGACATGGTGTTTGGTTTCAATGTTTAATTCATTTGAACAAAGACTTTGAAATCCAACTCTGGATCTGGGATTTCCAATGAAGCCTTTTCTGTAGGGTGGTGGGGGGTGTTAGGAGTGGGGTACAAGCTGTCCCAGAAGAGCTTGGCCAGTCTACTTCATACTAACCTCCTCTCCCTTTTATTGCCTCTGCCTCCAGACATTCCCATTCCATCTGGAACAGTTCCTAAAATCCTGCCTTGTAGCCTTCTAGCTAGTCCTGACCTACACCTCTTGGGGTGACACCGGCTTAGTGTGACGAACCTGTGGAGAGGTTTAGTAAAAGGACTAATTTCAGAATAGCCAGCAGATTTCACCTATCAGATGCGAACTCGGGGCATTAATCCCGCTGTCACCGAAACCCAAAAACAATGTTATTGTCTTGATTTTCTTCAACAATTTCTTCACTTAATTCATTTCTAGCTAATTGTTACAGCCCCTTCATTGGCTGTAAAGCAGATGCTCTGGAAGACAGGAGCACGTTGCATCATTAACTGTTGGCTCTAATCTCTTTATTTAAAAGGCCAGGCAGAGAATGATGGGCCGTGGTTAGAGTTGCTTGAGGTTTTTGATACCCCGCCCCCCTTTCTCCTTTTCCTAATGGGTTCCCCTCCCCTGTGAACTGGAACCAGTGAAGAGAGTTGGGGGAAAACACCAAAAGGGCCTCCCATTTTTTCCCAGGGCACATGAAAAGGTGCAAGACTAACAACACTGGAGAACAAAGTCTTCTTATCCCCAGAACAGGGAGCAAAAAGGCAGTGGCAGTCAAGTTTCCTCACTGCTGTCTCAGGCTGGACAGAGGGAAAATAGTTTAGGAGATGTCTACACTACACAAGTCCTTAACTCTGGTTAGCTAACTTGGGGTTAAGACGACACTTTTTTCAGCAGTGTGGACATACCCTTAGGCTCCACATCCATTCACGTCTTGGTCTTTCTTCTGAGAACACCAACCAACAAGCCAATTGTGATGTGCATCCATGTCCTTGAGGAACATACTTCTCCTGCCAGTGCATTTCACTGCCCCAAAGCAATGAGGTCACAATGCCCATCTCTGCCACCTGCAGATCGAGAGGTGAAGGGAGCCATACCTTAGTTATTGCTCATTTACTCATTACTCTGCATTAAACCAAACTGCACTGACACCATTCCTGGGGTAAAGCAAGAGACTAAGGGGAAAGAAACAGGACAGCCAGCATATGAAGCAGAGACTAAGGGGATGTGTTTAATTGCAAAAGAAGCAGGGAACCTACCAGCCCAGGGGTCAGCAACCTTTTAAAACCAAAGAGCCAAACTACATCAAAATTCAGAACAAGTGGTCAACAAAGAGCCGTATAAGAATGCCCATTTGCAGGACTGAAAACATACAACTTAATATTATTGGTAATTGACATGGTGATTAATAATAGCATAAATGAAACGTTGTACTCACAGACTTTATTTAATAGGACTTCTGCTGCTGCATCTTTTTGCACAGTTCTTTGAAGTTTACATCGTAACTGGTCAAATCCAGCTTCATGTACACATTCAGACTGTCTTCTGTCAATCTTATGGTAGGGACTGGGGATGTGGGGATATGATGGGCTCAGGGCAGGGGGTTCAGGTATATGGTGAGCTCACGGTTGGTAGGGGTGGGGGGTGCAGGAGTGTTATGATGCTGCAGCCAGATGGGGGCTGGGCACCAATTGGGGGCTTGTTGGCCAGGCTTCATTTTTAAATAAAGTAAAATATTATGTCCAACACAAAAGGTTTCAACATTGTCTTTATGGCAGGGGCAGGGAACCTTTTTTGGGTTGGAGGCCACTGACTCACAGAAAAATCAGGGGACCACACAAGTGAGAAGTAAAAAAATTCTTCCAAAAGCCCCCAACCCTCACTGATGTAGTCCCCCACTGAAACATCTCACTCCCCTGGTGCTCAAGCCCCATGGTGGG